GGCTGGCCCCCTAACAGGCTCTGGAAACTTTGGTCAAAGGGAAGGAACTTTGACAGCGGCCACCAAGCTGGTTTAGAGAGGCCTCCAGACGCCGAGCTCACACCTCGGATGCAGCGATCCCTCCCTGCCCGCGAGCACGTGCGCCCACCATCCGCGTGGGAGTAGACGTGACCTTTCCCGCCCACCCCACTGGGCCACAGCCCCCCTGGCAGCTTCTAGAGATGCCCCCATCCTGGCTGTGGCCCCGGGTACGAACCACTACCCATGCTGGACCCCCAAACCTCCTGGCCCATCCCAGGGCGTCACCATGTTCTGCTGCCCGACAGGGCTGGGGCCATGGCCGGGCCTGGTGCCTTGATCGATTAGGAAGAAACATAACCCTTTGGAAAATGATTTCCTTTTCCTTCTTTTTTCTTTTCTTTTCTCCAAAGAGATTGGAGAGACCTGTGGTTTGCAAATCTGCTGACCCTGCAGGAGGCTTGGACGGCACTAGTCGGTGTCAGGAAAACCTGGGCCAGAGACAGAACACACCTAAAGGCAGATCCAGCTGGTTTCGGGGAGAAAGTGGGTCACTGCGGAGATGTCCAAGGAAAGCGTGGCCTGGGGGGATGACAGGCACCTGCCTCGGGGCACAGGAGCAGACACCATGTCCCTCCTTCAGAAAGGGGCCCGCTTCACCCTCAGTGCCCATGCAGCTCCCAATGCGGCGCCCACAGGCACTCCGGGTCCCACTGTCTGTGCCTCCTCTGGAGTGAGGTCCGCACTGCCTGCCCTGGCCTCAGTTTCCTCATTTGGCACATGGAGCTCCTGCCGGCTTCAGAGGGCCCTGGGTGCTGCTGGCTGGGGTGGACTGTGCTCCAGGGACGTGGGGTGCAAGGATGTGCTGGGCTCTGGGGCTGTGGCAGTGCATTGGTCTCCACACAAATGGCCCCAGACAGTGATGAGGGGACTGCACCCCCCAAGTCGGACCCAACTTCCTCTGCTGCTACTCCTCTGGGTGTGGGGGCTCTGCCGCCATGAAGGTGCAGGACCCTCAGTCACCCTGCAGAGCCGCTTCCTGGCCATCCCCTCCCTTCCTTCTCCGTCTGTTTTGCAGCACTTCCTCCTCTGTCCATGCTTAGAGAGGCAGTCAGCTGTGTCCCCAGCCTGAAGCCTCTGCTCCCTGGATGCCTGCCTCCCCTGACCCAGCACTGACCACAGCCTGGAGCTTCGGGCCCAGCGTCCATCCATACCCTGGACATTCCCTGGAGGCTGCAGGACCTGGAGGTGAAGTCATGCCTGCCCCACCCTCCTCCTCAGCCATCAGTGTGTGGAGCCGAGGGTGTCCCAGGGTCCAGGACTGTTACACTGGAGTTTCCATGAGTGAGAGAGTGGTTCTGGAAGAGGCTAGAGGGTCTGGGAGCAGAAAGTGCCAGTGGAGGAGGGGTGTGTCCAGGGCAGAAACACAGAAGGCAGGGAGCTGAGGCTGCAAGTGCCACGTGTCCGGAGACGGGGTGGTCAGAACCATCCAGCTCGGGTCCTGGCCGATGGAGCGTCCGGAGACGGGGTGGTCAGACCCTTCCAGCTCGGGTCCTGGCCGAGGGTGCGTCCGGAGACGGGGTGGTCAGACCCTTCCAGCTCGGGTCCTGGCCGAGGGCGCGTCCGGAGACGGGGTGGTCAGACCCTTCCAGCTCGGGTCC